TCCAAAATGGAAGGAAGGGATGTGAAGAAAGGAAGAAAAAGTAAGGTTTCTGGCTGAGAGTCTTAGAAGCCAGATGCAATCAGGTATATAGAACAGGTTGAGCAAGCACAAAACACGTGCTATCACCTAGTAAGTGTGCATCCGAGGCACACAGTGCAGCTCACAGAACCAGATGTCCTTCTTCACAAATGAGAGGTCACTGAGCTGGGCTCTTATGAACGAGGAGATAGAAGGTCAGTCAATACTCATTTATTAACTAAGCAGTACTAATCTCTTAAGGAGGTTATGCCAATCTTAGATATTTCCCAACTGTCCACAATCATGTTACACAGGTTGGTCAATCTCTGGCTAAGGGTTAAGGGGCTATAAAGTTCAGAGAATGTCTTCATTTAGGCCAGGGGCCCATACTGTTCTTCAATTAACTCAGTAGAGCCTGTGTTTAACATTCACTTCCATTTATTTCACACCAGATGTGACCAGATCCTGGACAAATAAGAGGTAGAAAATAGCTCTCTTTTCCTCTGAAGAGGAAAGAAAAAGGCCAGCTAGACATTACTCTACATGAGCCATGAAGCAATGTGGTTCAATTGTCATCAGGCATCTCTGAAGGCAGCCTGAGTAATTTACTTCCAATTATAAAAATAAAAAAAAAAAACTCAGTTAACAGAAAGGCAGTAACTATTTTATAAACATAACCAAAAATCATGTGACTCTATCAGCTGTTACTTCCAGGAGGGGAAAAAACACAAATTAAGGAAAGGGATGGCACTGCATTTATTATAAGCAAAGACTATGATATGGAATCCTCTCTCTATACTAAATCAATGTGCTGAAAACTTTCAAGACCTATGGAAATTCACACAGGACTCCCATTCTTGGATCTCTCTGTAGAATACTCTAAAACATTCCCTCTAAAAAATGTAACATGTACTTAACTTCTACTGAGCACTGCCTGACCAGACCTTGTATCCTCTGCAAATTAAGTCTCATGTCAGGGTAAGAAAACTATAGGGATTATTAGGAACTACTGACAACATTTCTAGATACAGGAAAAAGAAAGTTCCTTAAACTATCTTTTTTCAAGTATTGATTTTGGGTAACTATCGAGTTATTTTAACATCATCTGCTTCCAGTTAACTCTAAAATGGTACTAACAAGGCCAAGTTCCCTTCAGACTACTCAACTTTGTAATCTCCCATGGCCTTAAATGTATTAAACCTACTGGAAAATGCAAGTCACAAGGGAACCAAGTGAGAAATTAAGGATAAAAACTTGTTGGGGAAGGGGGATCCATCAAACTACATGAAAAGAAGTAACAGAATCATGTTTTTTAGAAGCACATTTTCTTACCATTTTTAACACTAATGTAACATTACTAGTTGACACGGATAACTTGTATTACTATTAATTAGTATTACTAAAAATAATTTATATTAATCCTTTAGAATAATGATAACAATACTACCAAAGCATATTTCATGTATGGCACATCTCTTTCAATTATTTGTCACATATGAGATCAGTCCAGAAAGTATTTGGCCATGTAATATGAAAAACAGACATTTATTGAAAAAGAAATGATACAAGAAACATACATAGGACAATGACACCTCAGTCCCATTCAAAGTAGGCACCTGGGAACCTCACACAGTTCTAATCATCATCAGCTGCCCTGTCGTATTTTCCTGAATCTCATTGACGGTCTGAAATCCCTTCTCTTTCAAAGGTGATTTTAGTTTTGGGAAAAGCCAGAAGTAGCAGGGTGCCAATTCTGGGCTGTAGGGGGGCTGAGTCACTTGCGAGATTTGATGTTTCACCAAAAAGCTGCACGAGACATGATGCATGAACGGGCATGTTGAATCACCAGTTGCCCACAGGTGCGGGCTTCTGAATCATTTGAACAGTTTCTGCGGAGCAATGTTCAAGCTTAATGCACAATTTGACACAGATTTGTTGCTCTACTCACTCAGTCCTTTTGAATGTGATGGCACACAGTACACATGCTCACTCAACAATGTCTACTGCCCCCACTGACTAGTACAGTGAAGTCATCGTTGTTCACACATGTGCATTCCAATCCACTCTCCTTGGCTTCCAGGTTGCACTGATGTTCCGCAAGCTGTTCTTGTTATAGTAACAATGGCTGGACTTTTTCCGGACAGAACTTATAAAACATAACACTTAGATAAGTATACTGTGGGCCAGTGAATTATACTATAGAAGTTAAGTGACCACCACAACAAAGTTTGAACCAATGATCGCTTGTAATATATAGTACAGCTTCTTGCTAAAAGGTGAGAACAAACACACATGAACCAGGAATACATAGTCTGTCAACATAAAGAAGTAGATAACACTCCTCCAATAATAAATTACAACTCTAACTCATTTCAACCAAATCTAATTGAAGCACCTATTCACAATCAGAAACTTGTTTTTTCAAAACATTCAGTCTTCCCTTTTTAGCTGCTTTCCCTTATAGCTTAAGACCAGTGAAATGATACAGTATGGTCACTTCATAAAGAAAAGTGAGGGAAAAAACATGATACCCTACTTCTGGGACACTTACTTGTCCTTTTCAAAATACACGACTCCATTTCCAAGTTGTTATTAATGTTATTGCTTTTGTTTCTGCATGAATTGGTGTAATTATATTTAAACATTTCACCCAGCCATTTACCTTACAAGCACAATTACACTGGGGTTTTTTTCTCATTTCTTTCAAAACTAAAAAGTAATCAACAGAAGTATAAAATATGGACTTCAATGTATGGTACAGCTTCATTATTAACATTTATTGAATAAATAAATGAAACTGGGTGGTCACTCTAGTGCTTCCCAAGCTTTTACTTTCATGGCACACATGAAAAACAATGTATATAAGGATACTGGGATAAGTAAAAAATAAAAACTAAAAAAAACCCCAGATGGCCAGACACTCCCAGCTAAGGACCTCTGGCACCCTGAGCTTAGACAACTGCCTGGCTACCTGAGAGCTGAGAGGTGGCGGAATAATGTAAGCACAACTGAAACACCTGAAACTCATTTGCAGCTTTTCAGTGTCCCCAAAATGCTAACTAAGAAGTTCTTCTCCACATTTTTTCCTATTTTGCATACTCTTACTTTAAAAAAAAAAACCCAGGAAACTATTTTTCCTTTGGAAACTCACTCCTCCCTCATTCCACATGATCCTGGTGACACAGATAATTTCAGGACCCTGACACTGCATCCACCCCCATTCTACTGAGGATAATCAATTAAAGTGACCCATTATCCTGTTTATAATGGTGGATCCAATGTGGGCACATGACCTGGGCAAAGCGAATCCAAAACCTCTGCCACTCCCTTCCTTTTGGATTGTGAATACCAGGTTATAAGGCTTTGGGGTTCCACCAAGTCACAGAGGAAAGAAACTCTGAAATGATTACACAATCTAGACCATGGTTGTTCTAAATTTGAGAGTGAATAAAAAGTTTAGGACAGACAGGTTTCTGTTACTTGTAACCATAAGTATCATACAGCAATTTTCAACCTTTTGATTCATTCATTTTGATTCATTCACATCAGACAGCTATTGTTGTACTGGCTGTTTTCATTTTTTTATTTGACAATCTAAGGGAAAAGATGTCAGTGCTCCTGACTACATAGTCAGGTTTTGCATGTTTTAAAAATTCTTGTGGCACACCAGTGAGCCACTGCATACTGGTTGAAAACCGCTGCTCTAGAATTTCAAAGACTCAATGAATTTCCTGAGTATCAACACACATATGCATCATATGCAACACATATTTTACATCAGTGGCATACCCAGATCGGGTAACCTACTGTGTAACTTCAGATAATCTCCAGGTATCATCTCGGTGATAGCTATTCTAAAGAAATTATCCTACAAAGTGTCAACACTGAAAGAAAACATTTGGTAGAAGCAAGATCATTAGGGAAGGTAAAGGGAGAAATACAGTAGGAAGCAAGTTGAAATGAGTCCCATTATACATACAAAACACAACGAGGCAAAGGTACTTTGAGTATATTACAGACCACTTGCATAATCAGACCAGAAGAGGTCTGGTCACAAGGAAAACTCTTTGTGAGATAGCAGCAGTTATTTACTTGACAAAAAGGAATTCCACACACGTTAATTTTATATATTAAATAAACATTTATGCATCTTCACTACCAAATTTTTTCTGTAGGAACACATAATTTGCCATAAAGAGATGGACTTTTTCCTCACTGTCTTGAAAAGAAATACAAACACAGATACCAATAAAGAGAAAATAATAAAAATACCATGCCTACTTAGAAAACCCCTTCACAGGAAATACATTCTACAGATTCCATTCAATGGAAAAAAAAATTAGAATGTTATGCTAAATATATGGTTAGTTTAAAGGGGGCAGGGAGTCTTATTAATATCTAATTGCTCTCTTACAAGTTCTGTGCAGAGAGCAAGAATAACTATTTATCCTCACATCACAGCATGTCAATTAATACCACAGATAGCAAGAACACAATATTTTTTAGTTTACTAAATGACTAAATAAAGAGGGAAGCAAACTGCAACAAGTTAAGAAGAGATTAATGCCTATTACATAGAAACTTTTAAACTCAATTAATTACTTTGCATCTACCCAAAAGATATGCATTTTACAGTAGGCTGCAAGCATTAACAAAAGAATTACAAATTTGCACATCTACCAATAAACAAAAATACCAGAATAACATCATGTGCAGATTTCCTTGCAAAATGTGCTTTCATTAAAGAAACTTTTGCATCATTGAGTATACATAACTCAGAGTAAGAAGAGAAAAACAGCAAATTGGGAATATAAGGATAGAGAAAGAAGGAGAAGGAGGAGGAAAAAGAAGAAGAAGAAAAAAATCAACTCAAAATTTAAAAATGATAATAATCATCCACAAATTAAGAATAATCTATAATTCCAGTAGTTAAATTTTACCACCCCCCGCACCATTACTGTTCCATTATTTTCTTTCTTTACCTGAGAAGAATCTGCTTGGGCTAATTCTGTAGTGACCTTCAGTATTTGGCGAAGATTTTGTCCTTTATCTTCAACTAGGAGGTGAACCAACAGAAGAAAAACATGCACAGGGATCACTGTAGTAATAGGGAGCAAGGACTCTACTGAAGCCAACCAGTCACTCACTGCAGATTCTTCATTCATTACTTCAAGGATCCTCCAGGCTGTTAATATTGAACCATACATGCTGGTTATGGGAAACACAAGCTTGTAGGAAAGCTGAAAAATAAATGCAAAAAAAGCATGAGCAAAATGAGATAAATGTATTAGTCAGAAATATATTTCTCATATTCATTTATATTTTATATTTCATTTTAAGAAATGAATTCTTCTAACAAAATGCATACAGAATTTTCAATGCCTGTCCCAACCCTCTCCACACATATCTGAGCCAGAGCCAAAAGAATTATGCAAGAGGAAAACAGTTGTTATAAGGAACTCTAGAACAGTTTATCACTACTTTTCCTCGTATTGTCCATTCGTTCCCAGTTGAGGTAGAAAAATATCAATCAATAAATAAGATCCAGAGGCAAAACAGTTTGGAAGTCATCATCACTAAGAAAGTATTCACTAATGAGAGGGAAGATAGAAAAAAAACACAAAACACTGCATTTACCCAGCTCCAGACCCTGGTCAGAGGCAGCCCTGGGCAAATGGCAAACTTGGACTAAGAACAATTTATTTTTATAATAGACAGTATGTTAATATGAACAGAGTTGATTCAGCTGGAGCCTGGGAATTCATTTGTAACTGAATAACTTCTGCAGTAAGAAACTGCCTGACAGTTCCAAACTGAAATGATACCCAAAGATGATGTCATGCTTAAGTCAATCTGAAGTTGCTCCTCAAAGAAATAAAAGCAGTCAGGGTCAGAGAATGGAAAGAACTCTGCCAAAGTTAGCTGTGTGCCCTAATGGCTCAGGAGAAGCCATAGATGTTAAAGAAGCGTTAGATATAGCCTCCTAACTAATAAAATAATTCAATTAAGAGTAGAATTTGATACAGATTAGAGCTCTCTAGATTATAACTGCTGTGTTATTGGAGACTGACTTATACAGATAAGGATAAGAAATGAAAGGGTGGGAAGTAAAAATTAAACTTTATAAATTTATTAAGTAACAGTTTTATTGAGATATAACTCACAATCCATCCTTTTAAAGGTAACAGCTCAATGAATTTTAGTGATTTATAGAATTGTGTAACCACCATCAATATCTAATTTTAGAACATCAAAATGAAACACCAAACCCATTTACAATCACTCTTCATTCACCCTGATCCCCCACTCCCTGGCCAACATAATCCACTTCTGTTCCTCTTCTGGTTATTTTATAGAATAGAAACCACATAAAAATGTGGTCTCTTTTGACTGGCTTATTTCATTTGGCATGTTTGCATCCATGTTGTAGCTGGTATCAATACTTCATTTCACTGTCAAATGTTATTCTATTGTTTGATGAATAAATAAAAATGGTACATTCAATCAATGGACATTAGTGGACATTGTTTCTACTTTTCAGTTATTATGAATAACACTGCTATAAATATTTCTATAAAAGTTTTCTTGAGGACATAGATCTTCAGTATCTTGAGTGTACGCTTATGAGTGGAGATAATACTTATCTGAAAGTAAATGCCACTACAAAAACAAATGAGGGAGCTCCATCTTTACTGATATGGAAAGATCTCCCGCATGAAAATACAAGATACAAATAGTGTATTTTTTTTGGAAGGGGGAGACTCTATATTTATATTTGCTTGTATACGCAAAGAAGAGTACCTAGACAAGTTAAAAAGCAATTAATACACACTAATTTTCATTTTCTATTGGAGAGGGTGGGATTGAGAGAGTGGGAACTGGACAAGGGGAATCAAGGGTGAAAAGGAGACTACTCAAGGTACACCATTTTATAATGTTTGAACCATTTTACATAATTTTTTTAAATTATAAATTTTTAAAATTAAATACCTAAATTTATTATAGCTCTCTTTCTCTAAAAATACTTTTTTCCTAAGATGACATTCATCACAAACTAGAGTCAATTTCTTTAGACTAGTAACTAACAGCATTGGACTTGAGATTTAAAAGACAATGACTTCAGCACAGCCACGGCAACTATTTGGCTGTTATGCAATCTGTCTGAGACATACTTTTTCATTTGTAAAATGGAAGTTATGACTACCATCCTGCAAGATTACTGAGGTAGATAATAAGACAATATGAATAAAGTACCTAGCACAGTATCTAACGTTATAAAATACAGGGATATATTATCACTGTCATCTTTAGGAGAGAAAAATAAAACTGGCACATAAGAGTATAAAAGAAAATAACTGGAAATCCCCATGAACCATAAATTAAGTCAAAAGGAGCAATATTATACAGATATGTATCAGTAAACATACTGAAGCAAAGCCTACTTTACTTGAACTATTATGCCCAGGTGTAGGGTCTGTTTCTTGTTTGCCTTAAGTTAGAGTAGCAAGAGAAAGGCACAGTGTTGAATAAGATAACACAGGACAGTGTCTCTGGTCCAGTGAGGGACAGATCAAGTTCCCTGGCACAGTCCCCGGGCAAGGATGCAACAAAGGGTTTTCTCTTAGCACCAGCTGCCAAATCATGGCCCCACAGCCTGTGGGAAGACCTGTGAATGTGCTAGGAGGTTGTGTTTTAGAGGAGAAAGTGGGTGTTTACAAGTAAAACAGGCTTACGTTAGGTGTATTATATCTCAATAAAAAAGAAAAGGAAAAAACCATACAAAAATATCATTTCAATAAATATTAAATGATTGTAAAACATCCTTAACAGAGATAAAAGAGTTGAGAATCTTTATTTTAAAAAGCTTTTAATAAAAATGTTCAGGCATGTTAAATATTAACAATAAGCCAGAAATCCATTGCAGTAAGTTGTCAAAAAAAGGTCTGAAAAAGGAATTGTGAGTACAGGTAAACAATATAGATTTTCATTAACTTTAAAGAATAATACTCATGTATTATAGTAACTAAAACAGGCTTAACAAAAGTGGAGCCAGGAGTTGATCAGGAGAAGGGGTATGGAAACTCAAACCTGGAGACCCTTAAAAGTAAGATTGGTTTTCTTAGAAGGGATTTAATCACTCACTAGACCAGAAACAGAAGACTGGATTAGATTAAGCCCCGAGAGGGTCTTTGTGCTGTCTATGTCATGAAGAATCTACTCAAGAGTTCAGAGGCTTAGGGGTGGCTGATGACTATCAAAAGACAACCCACACCATCCTCTGGATCCAGAAATTTATTGAATGTCTACCATATCAGAAGACAATGATAGAAGCATAAGATCTAGGACTTACTAATTCCATTTAACTTTCAACTAAAAGCTTTTACAAAACCAGTTTACTTCAACTTACTGCTGATTTATTGTTTCCCTCTAAATCTGAAACTTGTTATTTGCTAATGAATAACCCTTCGTATGAAATTTTCCTTTGTTCAGATTACCAGTGTGGTGTCTGCCTCCTGACCGAACCCTGACTCTCACATTGGTGCATTCTCCCTCCGCCCGCCCCCTGCCGCATTCTCTGGGGGCAAGGGCAGCAAGATTTTAAGCACTTCAGAACTTACAACTAGTGTTTGATTTTTTTTTACCCTAGGAGAACACAAATAGCCTAATAGAAAAGGATCCTGTTTTCCATACAATACTAAAAAATGTTAAAAGTTTATTAGATTGCGCTAACCTTTTATTTTAAAGAGATGAATGCTCAGTTTGATATCTTAAATTTTTTATTCTTAAAAGTAAAAAGAAGATAAAATGTGTTTTTATTTCAAGGTTATCAACACTTTATACAGGACAGGCCATACAGAATTGCATCGCACAGGATATGTACCCTTGCCTTCAATCACCAGAAGGACTCAGCTTCTGAAGAACTGCTCTAATTCTAAATCAAGTATTTTAAGTCGGAGTCACCGATCTATAGTGAATTAATAAAAATAAAAACCACAACGGTCTTTCTGTAATAAATCAAGATGGTAAAATGATCTTATCAGAAGCACACATTCCTCACTGAAGAGAAATTTATTGAATGTCTACTTGTGGTAAACAATGGGTCAGATATAAAGGATGCAAAGATAAGCTAGGATGTTACCAATTTCTTTATGTGGAAAATAGGAAAGTATTTAATTTAACAACTGGCTAAAATATTTTTAATTCTCTCATCTGTGGTCAGCTAAAAAAAGATGAAGCAGAAACATTTAGGGTGGAAAAATACAAAAATTTCAACAATTGTTGCAATTTAAATATTAGCATGCTTAGAAAATAAAGGCAAAGCATGTAAAGGGCCAATATTCTTTCCCTCAGTGAGCTCATAGCATAGTTGGAGGGACAAATATGTAACCCCCTAAATTAAAACATAACATTACTGAGTAAATTGCTATGGATACAAAGAAAAGTAATTAATTCTGACTCAGGGAGGCTGAGAACTTTTTGGTGGGTCTTGAAGAATGAATAGGTTAGGCAAAGATTCTGGAAAAAACTTGGAGAGTTTAGGACATGTTAAATTTATAGGTATGTTTGGAATATAGAGTCCAGGACAGGTGCAGAAGAAAGGCCAAAAGTAAACAGCAGCTTAAATTTTTAAAAAGGGTAATCAAATACCTACTCAAAGCCTCAAAGCAGCACACTATTGTCAGGAGGTGTTTACAGCTCTAATAGTATTCCTCCCTCCTCCATCTTACCCAACTGCTAAGGGGCAAGCCTCACTATTAGGGCAGATAAGATTCACACACCTGAGTAAACAGTAAGCTGAGTACTTAAGTATTAGAGTTAGGGTGATCCTCAGTAAATATCACATATGATTTAAAGGAAAAGAACTCTTAAACTTAATACATCCTGCCCTGCTCCCAGCCCATTCAGATTCCAATGATTGTTCTGCATGGGCAAGTCAAAAGGGAAGGTAAAAAGCTACTAGAAAATTTTGGCCACATTTTGTATTCCCATTAGGGTAGATACAAGAACATCCTTCTCTTACTACAAAACAATTACAAATTTCAAGTTTTAAAGTTTCAGTCAAACAATAAGGACTTAGGAAGTTAGAGGATATTCAGTTTGCCTATAGGCTAGATCCTGCTTCATGTTCCAACAAAGAATAACAATGCCTGGATTTGTGCTGCTAGAGCATTTAACAATACATGATTAGAGGAATCTGCTTTTGCAGGTCGAACAGCTATGGCCCTTGCTTGCATTTATGTAATTTCTCTCTCCATGGAGACTTAAGATGCTTCACCAGTTTTATCTTATTGTACCCTCATTCAATCCTCATAAAAGCAATAGTTGGGACTAGTAAGTTTCACTGGAGGCAAAACTGAAATAGCAAAAGAGAAAAGGTCTAACAAATACAGGCCTAGAACCCAGCCACTAACCAGACACTCACAACACAATAATGTAAAAAGGAACAGGAAGAGCGAGACTGACAAAGCGGAATGGGTAGGCCTAGCAGGCAGAAGGAGGAAAAGAGTATGGCAGGCCTGCCGTCTTCCAGTTGAAGGCAGCAGAGTAGGGACACACACAGGAGATGCCAACAACCAATACGTTAGGGAATGCGGCCCAACGTGCCATATTAAAAAATGAAGTCTTAGTTCTTACAGATCCCAGAACTTCCATGCATTCGAAGAGATTTCCCACCCTGGACTATCCAAGATCCAGCATTATGCTGCACTTTTTAAACAGTCTGACAAGAAAAAAGGGTCCATGCTCAAATAAGTAGGGGAAGTACTAGGTTAAATAGAAGTCGTTCCTTTTTTGCAGGATTACTCAGGACCTTTAATAACTAATATACACTGGAAACTCAAGGAGAAAAAAAGATTATACAGCATTTCTGCCCTGGCCGGTGTGGCTCAGTTGGTTGGAGCATTGTCCTGTAAACCAAAAGGCTGCAGAATCAATTCCCAGTCGGGGCACATGCCTAGGTTGCGTGTTCAGTCCCTGGTGAGGGTGCATGCAAGAGATAACTGATCAATGTTTCTCTCCTGCCTCTCTTCCTCTTTTACAGCATTTCCAAATTATACAGCATTTCCAAAACTTATTTCACAACAGGGTTATCCTTCACTCTCACTGTCCAAAAAAAATATACTAACATGTTGACAAAACTGCCTGACTGACAATACGGTAAAATTCACAAAGATAGAGTTTAAACCCAAACACACACTTCATAAGAAGGTGAGGTTATCTGCAGAACATCTAAATTTCGTATTACCACTTTACTTGTTTTTAAAGATACAAGGATGAACTTCATTACCTTCTGGTGATTGTCTCTATAGCACTCCTGCTGTACCATTTCCAAAAGTTTTAGAGCCAACTGCTGCCTCGAGGGACTGTCCTCATCCATGGATATGCATTCTTCCAAGGCAGTAGAAGATAGTATCTGCAGAACTGGCATTACTAGCAGCGAGGATGACTTTGGAATTTTCTGACCCTCAGCAAAAGAGAGGAGCTTCAAAGCTATTTATCAAAACAACAATTCATGTTTTTAAAAAGTTATACCACAGTTAAACAAAACGCTATTTTGTTAAACGATAGACATGTAAGAATTTTTCTTAGCTCTTTACAACTGGGTCAGACATATAACTAAGATGATAAATCTTATCCTTTTCAAAATAAAAGGAACATTAAAATTAACTAGTATCTAAAACAAGTTGTTTCTATATTTAACTGAAAAACTGATGATATTCTTAGAAAAAAATACATATCATATATCATAAAGTATAAATCAACTCTCTTTTGGGGGGAAATACACATGTCTTTATATTACAAGTCAACTTTTGTCTTTGTTCTGTCAAATCCTTCCACTGCCTTCAATAAACAGAGCCAAGAGACCACCGAGTTCCTAATCAACACAAAGCAAGACCAATATATGTGCTTCCCTTACAAACCCAGCTGAGAACTGTATGAAGTCATTAGTAAATAAACAAGGTGAAGCAGGGTTATCTTTCCATTTTAATTGCTAAGAAGCAGATCAGGAAAGTCTCAAAGTTCATGTACAGCATAACAGTTAAACCCAGTTTTACAAATGATTTTTTTTTTAACATGGCAACTCAACTCCCCATCAGAACCATACGAGCAAATGTACAATGATTTAGTTACATGTGTGGTTTCCCTTAGACTAACAACAGAATCAGTTAAGGCACAAATGTACTTTTTCCAATTATTGAATGAACCCTGATTTAATAAGTGATGTTATTCATAGACTTCTGAGCTACAAAAAATTTTCGAAGCAATGAAATGATATCCCCACTACAACAAAAACAAAAAATTCTACAAGTCTTACATCATGTCAGTGAGTTGCCAGGATTTTGTTATTAAATTACCTGGAAGTCAAACCTGGATACAGTATGAAGAACAAATACCTGTTTGTCTAGCACTATTAATTTACATTTTTTCCCTAAATATTAATCTTAATCCATAATTGTCTCTGAGATACCATGAAAATTCATTATCTTTAACAAAGCAGGAAATGCATGTAATACAAATATTTATATATTCTATATTATAAATCTTCTAGGCATTTTTATAAATTGCTCTTTACAATCAAGACTGTGGTTAATAATTAAGAAGCATAATATTATATTAATGCCATGCATTTTTCAAATTTGAACTAATCAATGTACTCTTCATTATTCTATTTCCTTGAATACTTATCTGATATAGTAAAAATAGTTCTTCCTTCTTTTTCAACAAGACATACAGGCTCAGTAATTTTCAATATGATTTATTCAATCTAACTAAAGTAACTTCAAATCAGAGACACGTTTACAAACCAAAAATTATGATACGTAACAAATCAAAGTATTGGAGTGCTTGAGCCCATAGCATCCTATTATATATGAACTACAACAAGAGTGTAGCTTCAGCATTAAAAATGTGGTTTCCATACAACTTTGAAATTTCTTTTGTTAAAAAACAAAATCCATTTATATGAAATTCACAAAAGGCAAATGTATGGAGACAGAAGGCGCATTTGTGTTTAGGGCTAAGGGTGGGAATGAGGGTTAACTGTAAGTGGGCACAAAACATTTGCAAGGGGGAAGGATGATGGAAATGTTCTAAAACTAAATTATGGTTCTGGTTGCATATATGTAAATTTAGTAAAAAGGCATTTTATTGTAAAATTAAAATGGTAAAATTTATGGTAAATAGTAATATCTCAATAAAGCTGTTCAAAAATCTATGGTTGTCAGAAGTAGCAGCATGAGCAACTGTACATATGGGAGGATGCCACATGCACTGTTATGAGAAAAAGAAAAGCACTAGTGCGGAAGGCACAAATTAGTATAAGGCCAATAGGCAAAAGCAGGGTAGAAATCAAGCAAATCCATAGAGCCAAGGGTTCTCCTCCACATGCTAAAGCCATTTCCAAGATAAAATGTAAATGGATGAGCAATATGCCGTCCAAATTATGATGAATTAAAATGCCCAGAATAATGAACTAAAGAATCCACAATTAACTCAAGCACATTTTAAAAATGACGGTAGGGATATATCAGTGTATCATACCACTATACAACATAATCTAAATTTTTTTAAATTTATTGATTTTAAAGAGAGAGAGAAAGGGAGGGGGGAAGAGTAGGGGAGGGAGAGAGAGAGAGAGAGACAGATCAATTTGTTGATCCACTTATTTATGTATTCATTGGTTGCTTCTTGTATGTGCCCTGACAGGAGATTGAACCTGCAACCTTAGCATATCGAGATGAAATCCTAACCTAACCAACTATGCTACCCTGCCAGGGTTTCCATACAACACAATTTAGACAGAGCCTCCAATACCACATGGAGTATATTGGACCAAATAAAGCTAGGCAACTTTAATGTAAAAGCTGCATTTAAAGGTGTGACTTATTTGATAATCTGCCAGACCTAGCACCTTGATTCTTTACCACTTTACTCAAGTAGAACATTTTCACCTCCCTTTAGCCCCATTCCTCACTTTTCTTCAAATCATACTGAATAGTCAAAAGAATATTATCTTTCATTTGTTCTAGCTAAGTTAATACAATAACCATAAATTAAATCTTGTCCAACATGACAAGAGTTTTCAATAGTAAGGGAACATACTTTTTAAAAACAAATACAAATGCTAAACATTTATTTTGTTTCAAGGGTTTTATGCTATTTATTTTGGGTATGTTGTACAACTGTTAATAGCTGATACACCCTCCAATATATTTGTCAATGTCATCGCTATATGATTTAGATTGTAATGTCCTCATAAACAGCCAAAATACTTAGTAGGTTCAGCTACATGGAACTTGGAACTCTGTTGGACAAGAAAAAGAAAGTTCTAGTTGATAATGAGTAATTCAGGAAATTCCAGAACAGAAACTCAAAATAGACAGGATTTTATGGCATAACAGGATATATATCATTCAAGTGATTCCTGCCAACACTCACATTATATTTACTTTTTACTCTAATGAGTATATATGTATTTACCTAGACTTAAGATTGGCTTCTGCTGACTTGCTGGAGTCTGTAGAAGCAATAAAGCTATTCCAATTATGACCAGCTCAACAGGAAAATCCTAATGAAGAAAACAAAAAGAGTTGTTAAGAAGTTCCAGAGCCATGGCTTTATAACATGTATCCAGGAAGAGTACATTCAACATGAAAGATTATAAACCTATTTCAGTCATCCCTCCATACCACTGGGCTCTATATTCACAGATTCAACCAACTACGAATCACAAATATCTTTTAAAAGATGTTAAATTGTTGTTGATGTTAACTATGTACTTAGATCTATGATGGTTACATCTGTACTGAACAGGTACAGACTTTTTTTCTTGTCATTATTCTCTATTATTCCCTAGACAATACAGTGTAACAACTATTTATATAGCATTTACATTGTATTAGGTACTATAAGTAGTCTAGAGATGATTTAAGATATACAGGAGGACGTGTGTAGACTATATGCAGAAACTATGCTATTTTATTTAGGAAACTTGAGCATCATTAAGGTTGGTATCCACAGGGGTTCTGTAACCAATCCTCCAAGGATAGCAAGGGATGACTACATACAAAATTACCTACAGCAAGGCTGCTCTGTTAAAGGAAGAATTGGTGAATGCCTGAGCAGTCAGACATAAATTCAAAACCTTATCATATCTGGCCAAAAAGCAATAGGCTAAAAAAAAACTAATTTAGAGAAATAACACCTTAACACAATAGATCTGCAAGTTTTAAAAACAGAGTCTTTGCAAGTCACTGAAAACTACCTGAAATCCTTAATTTAAGAATATTTCATTTCTGAAAAGTAGCTCAATTGTCTACTTACCTAATACAGACATGATTCATCTATATAATTTACATAATGCATTACACTAAATAAATTTTAATAAATAATATTATAATAAAAGAAACATTAGTACCCAGGGAGGCAGAGGTTATTTCTAAATTACAGTGATTTATTAAACAAAGCAATAACCATAGAAACTTAAAATCATTAATTTCATTAAGTTTTTGAACAAAATGAAAAAGAGAAGGATACATACATTAAATTCCAATAAATAAGACACAAATGACATAAGATGTATTTGAGGATTCTAAATATAGAAAAAATTAATGTATTATAAAACTAAAGAAGGTCCACCACACATTCCTAAAATTACTTCATTCCAAAATTTTACAGAAGTGCCTGCAGAAGAGAAATACCTATAAATCATGAGGACAAGCAAGAAAAAAAAGAAAAGGATATGCGAGGTTGAGCCATGTTAAAGAAATACTTGAGATAAAACACTCTGAGCCACTCAGAAGTTATAATCTTGGAGATGCTATCAAAAAATTAATAAATATTTATCTAAAAATATGGGCTATGCCTTTTAAAAGGTGAAGTTAATCAAGTTGCAAAATCTTCTCAAGTGTCTGTTTATGAACTTTAAAAACCCAGCTAAGGAGAAAAATTACTTTTTGAATATTTTTGAATGAATATATTCTAATTTGTGTATTTGCATCTTATATATGTTCACATATACAGTTGACAACTATGAAGCAACTATTTGAGGACAATAAATGCATTTTGAAACAAATATACTAACAGTATACACCATCCCACTATTTTTTCCCATTCTCTTTTCCTCAATTTCATTTCAAATTCTGCATGTACATGAGAAAACAATATGGAAACCAGCATAGGAATTAAAATTTCAAACTTATCAGCTACCAAGAGGATCAGAGACAAAAAATGTTATTGTAATGCTATCACTGGAAAGCCTTTTCACATAAACTATCACTGAAAGTCACAATGTAGTTTTTCAGGGTTCTTAAATGGTCTAGAAGCATGTTATCAAGTGAATGTAACTTAAAGGCATGAAGACATAAAGAAGACCAACCTGTTCAGAATAGAGAATGAAAGAAAAACACCTGAAGATTCAAGACACCAAAAATAAGGAAAAAGTAACAGAAGGATTAAACTAAATAATCTTAAACTGCTTACATTCCTGAGAGGTTACAAGATTTTTGTTTCATTTTTTCTCTTTACTTTTTATATGTCTGTATTAAAAATTTCATCAGGTACAACTTTGTTAATTACCGACTAAAATTAAAGTAAAAGTTTTTAGTGTACAGAAGGAATAGTCTAAGTGTTGATCCGTAAGGCAGGTGAAAGCTCCTCCAACAGCTGATTTTCTTTTGTTGTTATTGTTGACACTATCACATGTAATTGATTGATTTTTAATGGACACCAAAAATTGGTACCATTTCATGAGATCTTTTAATAAAAGCCCATGTTGGACATGCCATGTGCCACTTCAAATACTACAGCCACTGCTGCAGTTACTCTTGCTTCCTGCTCCAGACCAATAAGAGACGCAGAAGCACAGGGAACTTAAAGCCCCATAATCCAAAGTTCGACCACTAGGCAAGAGAAGCCCAAGGACAAACACCCTGCCCTTTATTCTGGATTCTTCAGGAGGATTCTGAGACATACATTCGACTTCTCAGAATATTCCAATGGATAGAGCAATTGGTTGCCTATAGCAGTAGCCAACTTGGTAATACAGTCAAACTTCAGTTCTCGAACATCTCAGTTCTGGAACAATTCAATTCTCAGCCAACTTGTTCATGGAAGAAAAATCTCAGTTGTCCAACAAAACTTCGGGTTTTGATTCTCTACCCAATAACCCTCTCATGCTGATATCTGTATGATCAGTCACATGTGTCTCAGGCAACAAAGGAGATTCCATTTTTGAACAAATAGCTTCTCCAACAGTTTTCCAGAACAAATTGAGTTTGAGAACCAAGGTTTCACTGTATTTGTATTGCCTCTCCCATGGTCAGTATTTCACTCTTTTTGTCCCTTTCCCACCTGCTTCCTGTGATCACACACACAAATGAACTCCTGTTGCATCATCCTAAGCTCTGTGGAAATTTAATGGAGTACATCGGACCAGAGATTGCTAGAAATTCAGGCAAGGGACCCCAATTTGATCCGGTGAGGGCCAGCAACCTCCCCCTCAGAAGGAAGGGAATTGCAAAAGTGCTGGTTAGGAAGTACCCAGGACAGCAGATTAAAAAAGTGACCATGAGCTGAGGGGGCCAGATGCTGTTTGTCTGAGGAGACCTCGGACAGATGCTTGAGGCCTGTGCGTGGCTGGGAAACTTTTGCCCTTACTAAAAATGGCGGTGAAAGAGGGTCAAAAATGCTGGGGAGCTGACAAGAATGATGGACACTGACTCATCTTGAGAAAAAGCCTGAAGCTCTTTTGTGTAGGGATTGCTGGGCCAAATTAAAAGCCAGAAGGCGCTGGGAAACACAGAGGCTTTTTTCCTTTTCACTGGCTAGCCCAATCAGCCACAAAAATCCCAGGGTCCTGGGACCTGGAGGGTCCTTGGAGACCACATGGTTTGGAAACATCCTCGGCACTCCTCCCACACAGCAGACAGCGGCAGTGCTGACGGTGCGCCAGCCAGGCACACACGGACTTGTGAGAGGTGCTTGGAGCCCAACTGTGACCGGCAACGCTGTGCTGCAGACTTCTGTGTTTCTTGAAGGATGGTACTTTTAAGTAGTATATTCTGAAACTGGTCTGCCTTAGCAGAGGGCAGTAGGGCTATTTGTTTTTTGGTGTTTTAAAGGGAGCAGAACTTTGAGGCAGAAATCTGCCGTTATTCTGAAACCGTATAGCCTTTAAATAAACAACCCCTTTCCTTTTTCACCAAATTCTTATCTCTAGAGTTATGCCTCTTGGAGGCGAGCAATTGAACCCTGCTGCTCTTCTGGAACAACATTGGTTGGTTCTGTACCAGAAACCCAAGGTGTGTTTTTGCCTTTAGGAAAACAGGGTCTGCTTTGGGGGGAACTCAAACTACTGCAGAGCCTGTCTAGAAGAGGAAATCAAATATTAAAAAAGAGAAAATGCTTTTATACTCAGCCACAGATGTCACAGGAATTTTAATTGGAGTCTACATTTTGTGGCACCACCTGTGTTCCAGGCACTAATGGGCCCAGGGATGCTTCTGTGAACAAGATAGTAAGGGAAAAGGTGTTTTTGTTTGTTTTTAAGTGAAAATAAGGTGTAAGAAAAACTACATCAGAGGTGACTGTCTGTAGTAGACACCACAGAGATGGCAGCCCAGCCTACACTATCTCCCCTGGCCACGTCTTTGCTGCCTGCCCTGGCCCTGGTCAGAGCCGATTCATCCAAGCTCAGCCAATCACACAATAGGGGATTAATCAGATTCAGTATTTGTTTCATTTTGGGGGTTTTTCCGCAAAACTAGAGTTGTGTGTTCTTCCATCAAGAAGCACATAAACTGTGTTGCTCTTCTTTCTATGATGTTAGTAGCTGTTGATGCTCAATACCTACTGCCATTAATTCATCAGGAGTTAGAGAAACATGTCAAAGTGCACTATGAGGATGCAATGAGCAGAATTCACAATCTAGAAAACTCTACAGTTCACAATAAGCTAGGTTTTTCAATACATACAGAATGGGGCAAAAGTGGGTTTACAGTTATTCATATGGAAAATAATACAATAATTAGTAATAACACAAGAAGAAACTGTTTTGTGTGTCCACAACGGTAAACCTACTTTCACCTCACCCTATATACTTCACAAAAAAAAAAAAAAAAAAAAAAAAAGTGAGGGAGGGTTTGGAAAGGGACCACCTTTAGTGTAAAAGGGGCCTAAAAGATCATGCATACCAAAACTATATTATGTGTAGGCATATACATTTCGGTATTAAAACTACTTTAAACATGTAAGAAAGATATTCCTATAGAAGTCAAGATAGGGGACAGAGGAGGTTGTAATTAATATAATGGGGTGCAGAGTGGGGCAGGGGTCCCCCCAAAAAGCAAAGCATATTCCCCACAGCCCACAGTTGGGGAATGGGGGAAGAGCATGATATGGCAGTTAAGATACTTTTCATAACCAAAAGCAAGTTAATAGTTGTGCTGCCACCCTAGGTGAAATGTGGATGTGACTAAGGCATTCAGCGACTCATGACATAGCCAGGGCAGGTGGCCCATCTGGATGTCCCGTGTCACAGGGTACTCTTGCCCTGACTAAAGATGGCAACCGAAAGAAGGTAAAAAGATACAGGGAACTGGCAAAAGTAGCTCATTGTAGGAGGGGTCAGATATGAGGTCACATAGGGAGCTCTGGGTCACATTTAAAATAAGGGCGGGCAGCCATGAAGCAGCAGCCTTGCGTTTGGAAGAGTGTAGAACGGCCACTCCATCAGTCATGAGGGCAGTAGTGAGTGGCAGCCGTGAGGTAGGAGCCATGAGGAAAGGGGATTCAGCCTTCAGGTCTGGTGTGTAAGGAGGTGCCACGCAGTCTAGACTAAGGAGATGCCATGTCGTTTTGGATTAAGAGCTGGATTAAGAACCTGCTGGGAAACCTGCCTGGAGAACACGGCAGCAGAGCTGATGGAGCTGGGAATCGTGGGGACCTGCCTGACTGCGCACAGATTAGTGGGAGATGCCTGGAATGCTGAACTGTGACCAGAAATGCTGAGCCGCAGACTTCTGCTTTTTCTGAAAGACGAGGCTTCAGACTGGCGTGTTCTGTGACTGGCCTGGTTTGGCAAAAGAAGGCAGGACTATGTGTTTTTTAGGTGTTTTAAAGGGAGTGGGACTTAATGGCAGAAACCCACCACTATTCTGAATTTGTATAACCTTTAAATAAACAACCCCTTTCCTTTTTAACCAAACTTTTGCATTGGGAGTCACGCTTTTTTGGCAGTGGACAATCAAACCCCACCGCTGTCCCAGAACAGCATAGGCAGGGTTCTGTAACATTAGGAGTAGGTTTGTGGGAAAGCTCTGTGGTGGCGGAAAAAGTTCAAACTGTGTGATGCTAACTAGGGTGTTCACCTTTTAAGTGGCAAGGGAAGGGGGGAAATCACCTGAGTGTCTAGTTTAAAAACGCAGATGCTTAAGCCCCATTCAACCCAGCTAATTCAATATCTATAGAGGTAAGCCCCTCTAGAAACTCTGCCTAGGGATTTTTATGCATACTGGTTTGAACCATTTCACTGCAATATAAGGTTCACAACACTTGTTTGTTTTCACCTAATTGTTTGTAGCAAAATGTTTGCTATAGAAGCTGCTTAATAAATATATTCTAAATGTGTATGCTGGGGTAGGGGCAGATATATAATAAGATGATCAGAGAAGATAGTAATTTTATAGTAACTCTACAAAATTATAATTGATAATTATGTCCACTATTCAAATGAGTCTAGTACAAGCAGATAGAAAAATATGAGGTATAGTTAAAACACACAACTCCTGGTAATTTAGCCGTATAATATTTTATGTAGTATTTATCCATAAAATGTTATTTATTTATATTTTTCTATATATTATATATAATCTATTATATACCTAATAAGTATAATTATATATAATTAGATATATAATATAGGTATAATTATATATCTGAAGGTGTTTGATATATGATTTTAATATATTTATATAATATATAATAGGTATTCTATAATATATGACAGATATCTGTTACTATATATTATTAATGCATATTATTATACATAATAGAAATATACACAATATTATAAAATATATCATTACATAATAGTATATAAAATAGTAGTATCTCTAGAGTCCCAGCATATGTGAAACCATTGTAACCACAAGATTGACAAATTGACAAATGAATTACTTGAGACTTCCTCAGTTCCCTCCTTTAACAAAAATTTCTCCATTTCCTTATCTGCCATTCACTTTTAATCCAGTTTGGTTCCTACCACCATCACTCCACTAAAACTGCTTCCTCCAATGTGAACAATAAACTTCTACTTGCTGCCTCATAAGAGTACTTACTTTCCATCTCTTACTTTAAATCTTCTCTCTATGCCACTGTTGACCATGCCCCTTTTTGAGATATTCCTTCCCTTGATTTTCATGTCATGTCTCTTTTGCTTGTCATACAATCTTCTAACCATACTTCCCCAGACTCCTATTTGTCAGCACACTGCAAATATCAACAGCAACTGTGCAGTTTCAATGCAAGCCTTATCATGCAATCCCATAGTTAAAACCCTTATTCCAAAGTATATGTCTACAAATCTATACCTTTAGCTTAGCTTCCATCCTGAATTTTAAAACCACACAGACAATAATTTATAATGCATACTTACCTTAAACCAAGCATATCTCAAATCAAATTATCATTTTCCCTCTAACATCAGCTACCATTTTTCAAAGTGAATGGCACTATCCAGTTGTACAAAATAAAAACCTAAAAACTCTACTAAGGACCCTCTCCTTGACCATCTAATCAACCACAGACCCTATTGATTTCATCTCCTATATTTTTCTTTTCCCATTTTCATTTCCCTAATTAGCACCTTGCTATAAACTAAATCACGTCCTTCCAAACCCAGATTTATACACTGAAGCCCTACCTGCCAATAATGTAAGTGTTTTGGAGTAAAGGAGCAATTAAAGTTAAATGAGATCATGAGTGTGGGACCTTTCATCAGTCAGATTAGGGTCCTTTTAAGAAGGAACAATAGGGATCTCACTCTTGTTCTCTCTATCACATGAGGACACAGCAAGACAGCATACGTCTCCAAGCCACGAAGATAGCCCTTGCTATCTTCGAATCACCCAACACTCTGATCCTGAACTTTCTAGCCTCTAGAACTGCAAGAAAAATAATTCTGTTGTTTAAGCCACCCAGTCTGTGGTGTTTTGTTATGGCAGCCCTAGCAGTCTAAGACATCCCTCCTCACTCCCTGCCCTGTTATAAGTGTTGCCCTTCTCTAAACCTTCCTCTACTCTACCATCAGAATGACCTGCCACACACAAAATATCAGTGCACCTCTCTGCATGTTATTACCTAGTAGATAAAATGGAAACTCAAGTCTGGGCCTTCTAGACCTTAATCCTTCAACAATACTCAACACCTTTTTGTTTTCTGAATAGTCCATGCCTGCCTGCCTGCCCTCTCATGTTTCTGTGTTTGGGCATATGCTGTTCTGGCTGAGGGAATGCCTTCCCAGCCTCTGGTGTGTCCTAGGGAAAGTCCTGTTCATACTTTTCAAATCTGAACTTGTGCCCTACTTTCCTTAATTCTGCTCTTTAAATATATAAAAGTATTTACCTTATTGTATTACAATTATTTATTTGTATGTCTTTAAGTCCCTTGAGGCCACAGTATACCTTTTCATCTATGTATTCTATAGGGTTTGGCATACAATAAATATTCATTACTTGTGCTCTACATGAATAAATTAAAAAATGCCAGAGTGGTGCTCTAAAGAGTATTTAATGATTCATTTTTATAATAAATAGTAGTTGTACATTAACACTATGATCTAATCATATTAGAGCAACACACCTTTGATATGAAGTACAGAGCACACCCACCCAGCTCCTTTATAAAAGACTTGCTTAAGTGATAAGTGACACGTTAAAATTTCTTACTATCCTTACCTCCCTCAGAAGTTCAACACTGTGCTCCAAAAGGTGAATTAAAGATGAGCATTCCCCAGTTATCTTTAAGCTCACTTCACAGACACACAGCAGCTGAAGGGTCAGCTGGGTAAGCTGAAATTTCCAGAATACAGGATGACGCGAAAGGCTTAAATATACTTCCTCGATAAACAGCATCACTTCTGTTGTCTGCATCAAATCTTTTATCTGTTTAAAAAAGTCATTATATGATATTAAAATAATGTACAAACCAAAGAATAATTTAAAGCTATAAAGTTAACAATAAAATATTTTCTCTAAACCTATAAAGCCTTAAGAAGATGAAGAAATGTACAGACCTCAAATATGGTTAAACTATACATTTCTGCCTTTTCCTTTTGTTGCTAAACAAAATACAATTTGTAACCGTTTTTATTACTGCTGTCTGGCATCAAACATTTTCACTAATTTTTCTAACTTCTCTGAGAAAATATTTCTTAAGACAAATTACATGACAGTGCCAACATTCTGAAGGAAATTAAAGTTGGCTTTGAGTTCTCCAAATGAACTCTCCTTTCTACAATTGCAACATCATTACCTGGTAGTAGAGGGTTAGTGAGTTAGTTTAATGCACTATTAAGTCCTTCATCTGCCAAGGTATTTTTCTCAAAAAACCCTAAGTGAGAGCATCATTTCCACACTCAGCAGGTATAAGGAAAGATCATATTCAAATAGTAGGGTATCTACTCAACAGGTATTAGGAAAGACTTGGACACTCTTGAAAAATCTCAATTCAATTCAAACCCAGCTGTTCTAATCAAAATTCTGGAGTTGGTATTAAGAATATGGTCCTTCTAGGAGACACACTGGAATTTCCCAGAAATTACAAACAATGAACCATTTGCTTCAATCAGGAGCCTGTGTCTGTTAAATTCATCAAGAGGAAAGCCTATAGCTGACCAGCTGTAACTTTCACCAGTCCTTACCACCAAAATAACCTCAGATGACTATATGTTATACATAGAAAAATCAATTCCGAGCAAACAAGAGAAAAAAGATAAGGGGTAGGATATAGCAGAAAATAATGTTATAGAAAATAAATGTGAAAGGTTTAGTAAATTATTTTTCTCTTTTGCAAATACATAGTGGGAGAGGTAAAGGGCCATCCAGAAGAAAAAAAGGAATTTAAAATGAAGTAAAGCCTCATTCTTATTTGACATTTTGTGCATACTTGAAATTTTCTATAATAAACAAATTTTGAAAGGCAACCTCAGCAAGTTATCATTATAAAGACTCTCTAATCTTTATCATTACCAAAGTTATTGACAAGAACAATTTTGAAGTAATGTTTTCTCTTTATGTAGAAATAGACCATGTGCAATCGGTAACATGTATGATGACAAGAGTCATAATTTCAAAGAAAGAACAATTGGGGCCAAAGTCAATAGTAAAGCTTAAGACAGGTAAGTCCAAATAAAGATAATTCCAAAAATTTTAAACTGAGGAACAATTGACATTATAAGAAAATGAAACAGGAGTTTTTCTGATCACCATCTGATCATAGATCAGTAAGGTGACATGGCTATTTCTAAAAAAAAGAAATGAATTAATGTGATTTTATGCAAGTGCTCAATATGAGTCAATACTGTATTCAGCTCTTAGAAGAATGTTTCATAGTAACACAATGTGGGCACCAATGAACAAGAGAATTCCTGCCAAAGAAGAGTGAAAAGTCTGGAAACCATTTCACGTAGAGAAGTAAAGAAACTGATGAAGAAAGAAAGGAAGGAGGAAGAGAAGAATGGAAAGGAAGAGAAGGAAGGCAGAGAGAACACACAAAATAGGATGCAGATTGGCTTTATAAAAACCATGTTTTGTTCTGAGAAGAATGGTGACTAATGAATAGTCTTAGGAAAATGTAGGTCAATTAGAAGAACTACTAGCTTTAGGGAAAAAAAGGGAAAAAAAGAAAAAAAGAAAGGAAAGGAAAGAAAGAAAGAAGGAAAGAAAGAAAGAGAGAGAGGGAGGGAGGGAGGGAGGGGAAGGGAGGAAGAAGGAGGGAGGGAGGAAGAGAGAGAGAGAAAGGAACAAAGAAAGGAAGGAAGGAAGAAAGGAGAAGGAAGGAGGGAAAGAGAGAGGGAGGAAGGGAGGAATGGTTGCCTTGCAAAATAGCATGCTTACTATCACTAAAATTTTTAATTTGTCATGGGATGGTTGTGTTTTAAAGAATATAAGAAATACTTTTAGTAAGTGGGAAAATGGATTACATTGCTGCTCAGATCCTTCCTAACGCTCAGATTCTTCATTCTCATAAAGCAGATGTGTTAAGTGATTAAATGTGTTTATGTTGCTACCTATCTCAACTATATTTTCCCTCACCTATCTCAACTATATTAACAAGTCACAGATTCCCAGAAATATTCTTCAGAGCTCATTTTGAGGAGTATTTAGGCTTCTCAATATAGTTTCACAAAGATGAAGACAAAGAGCTATCAAAGAGCAGAAAACAGGGTGGTGTGAAAAAGTGTACCCTAGTTCAAGATGTTCAGCCTATACATTGCTTTACTGCCCACACAAAACAAAAGCTTTGGAAAAGCCACAGGAGAATTCATTTTCATTAGCTTTTCTATGTCTTGATTACAGGAAAGCCAATTTATGAGTCACAAAGGAAAGGTTCACTGTAGTCATTCCTTGCTAACAGAAATTTAAAACAGGTCATCTGTGACCTCAAGTGATCACTCTGAAAAATATTCACAGATCCTCTCCATTAGCTAAGCAGCATGGGGCTCAGATTCTAGGCAAAGGTCAAACCTCAGTGATGGGATGGGATGGCCTGATAAATGAATCACTACATTAAAATCACAACTCACTGCCAAATGGAGGTTGGTTGTTTGTTTTTTTTTTAATCTGCAGTTATGAAGACATTAGCTCAAATTTATCTCTTCCCTGAATTTCCTAGGCATTTTATCCATACCTCTGTGAAATATCTTTCATCCAACTACTTTTGAACTATGAGACTTTATATACTTGTTTTAACTGTCTTACTACACTGGGGGCTTCTCAAAAGTAGGATCCATCAGGGTCAATACACATGTTGTACAGAGACTTGTGGAAACTGAAATTCAGACAACACTCTGCTGGTCAAGCCCTGGGTCGCAGGACTGTATCTGCCCTGAGATATACCTTTGTCTAATTTGCTCAAAGAGATCTCTTTATTTTCTTATAGTTCAGTGTCTTGCACAAGTAGAAATCCCACTCAAGATTTTCCCTGAGAAGACTCTCTTCAACAAAGTTTTCAATCCTACTAATCCTAAAAAGAACTATGCTGATTTACATAGCTGTGAATTTAGTTAACATTATATATATATTAATGTTGAATCTAGATTTGGTTCCTTCATTATTTCCAAAAGCCTGCAAGCATTTCTAGAGTCAGGATTGTGTCTCAGTTTTCCAGGCCACATAGGTTCTACTTAATGTATGACGAGAACAATCAACACTCACTGAAGCTATATTAATGAAGGAGGATGAAAGACCTTACCTGTAAACATGGAACCATGTCGCAACACAGCTGAAGTATCTGCTGTTCCAACGTTGATGGCTGTTCTTTGTCACAAGAAACCCAGGGTTGAAGTAAGACTTTCAGTAGGGCTAGTCTAAGTTTAGCATATTCTTGTAACTGGGATGGTTCACAATATAGATACCACAGAAATGGGGACATTATTTGGACGCATGACACTTCTGACCTGCAAAAACATGTAACACAGAAGGCAGCCACTGAGTTAAAGAGTATCGGGCAGGCGTCAAATATCAACTAATAGTTCATGACCTATCATAAACTATGTTATCATCAAGTTTAACTTTTTCTCATCATTCTCCTATTACACCACGACCTGCCTAGACCCATGCCAAACACTTCCTTGTACGCTGGAGAAAATGACTCAACACCTGGAGACCATAAGCCTGATGGCTAGGAATAGGAGAGTCTCTACCTTCTCACTAGAATAGCATCTACATCTCAGTGAATATCAGAATCATCTCAGAGCCTGTTTAGACTTATAGATGTTAGGACCTATTGTCCAGTAATATGCCACAGGTATACATATTTGGAAAAACTCTGTAGTTGAGATTCTATGTAAAACAAAACCAAACAGACAACCCAAGAAGATTATAACAGTTAATATTTACTTGTGAACTTGTTAACATGGTGTGTAAATAACTGTACTTCATGCCTTTAAAGTAATTTGATCCTCAACACAACTCTATAAAATAAAAAACACTGGGTTGTCCAAAAAGTTCATTTAGTTTTTTCCGTAAAATAGAACACATTTTTCATTTTCACCAATAACTTTATTGATTTGGATATTCTGAGTGTGTCAGCTATCTCCCACATAGTATGAGGTTGACTTTTCTCAATTAATGTCTCAACTTGATCGCTATCAACTTCAACTGGTCTACCCAACCGAGGAACATTATCCAGCAAGAAATCTCCAGCACAAAATTTTGCAAACTTTTGACATCTTTCATCAGTCACCTTCTTCATACACTGCATGAATCTTTTTGTTGCATTTTAGCTGTGTTTTTACTTTTCTTGAAATAATAAAGCATAATATGCTGAAAATGTGCCTATTTTCTTGCGTCTTCCATATTAAAATGGCCACACAAAAATTCACTTATTTTGATTAAGCTTTTTTTTTTTTAATGGACAGCTGTCACAACACAATCTTAACAAAATTGTTTTGAATGAAGTTAAAAACTAAGCGCTACTAGAACCAACTTACAAGAAAAAATCCAAACAAACTTTTTGGCCAACCCAATATTGTATCACATTATGCACAAACTGAGGCAGAAAGAGGTAAAATAATTCGCCAAGGTCCTCCACTTAATCTACTGCTATTCGAAAAAGGAAGGCCTTACCAATCTTTTGTATCTTATTTCAATATATCCCAATAACTCCAAGTCCAAAGTTACTAAAATGACAAAATAACCTTTCAAATATAAAAATTTCATCATGTCTTTATCAAGCTTAAAAGAGTTTACCCTTAAGATAAAATATTTATCCCAATTCACAAACCCTCCATATTTTGACCACTGCTTATCTTTCCAGCCTTATTTCTTGCTCTTCTCTATTCTCCACTGAACACTAAACTTTCAGATCTCCCATCAAGTCATCAGGCTTCTTTCTCACTTGCTGTTCCCTCTACCTGTAATACCGTCATCTTTCTCCCTTTTCTATTCCTTCTTTTATCTAATTTCTATCATCTGTCAGTTTTCTCCTTTAAAAAGACTTCCTGAGGGCCTTCCCTGCTACCTAACCTAGATCAGAGCCCTACTTTGTGCTCCCACAGGACAATGACTTCATCGTCATTATTTTTTAATATCTCTATCTCTTGTCAGACTATAAGCCAAATGAGGGCATGGACGATGGGTTCCTGTTTACTTCTGTATAACCAATACACAGTACGCCTTCAAAAAGATGGTAGGCCTTCAAAAAGATGCTTATTTGATCATTAAATTAAATTGATTCAGTTATACTAAATTGTAGAGTAGTTTTACAATTAGCATGTACTAATTAAATATCGTATCTTTATTTTGTTCTTCATACTTATTATACATAAGATATTATTAGGTAAGATACAAAGAGGAACCAGGCATCATCCATTCTTAAGAAGCACAGACTCTAACAGGAGCAATCAGTTCTGTTCCTGGACTACAGGATAGAAAGTGAAAAATTGCTAAAAGAAAGGTATAGAGTGCAATGCAGCATAGAGGAAATAGTACTTGATTTATAATTTGTTTATTTATTTATTTATTTATTTTTTAGAGAGAGAGGGGATGGGAGGGAGAAACAGATGGAGAGAAACATCAATGTGCGAGAGAAACCAGGCATATGCCGTTACCGGGAATTGAACCAGCAACCTTTTGCTTTGCAGCCTGACACCCAACCAACTTAGCCACACCAGTCAGGGCCGTCTTATGATTGTCAATGTAATTTTATAATACTATTCATTTTACAACAAAGTGATTTCAAAATATCATTACCATTAATAAAAATCTTAAAGTTACCACATCAGTAAGATTTAATTAATTTATTCATTTATTTATTCTCTGGGCAATATGTACTTAATACCTATATATCATTCACTCTTCTATGGACTAGAAATAAAAATAGATTAAATCCTTGCTCTGATGGAGCTCACAGTCTGTAGGTATGTTTTTCCTAAAAAGGACAAATATTTACTCGATCTACAAAAAACAAAGGACTTTTCTGAGTTCATAATAATTACTGAAACATCTTTATCAAACTGTCCACTTTAGAAAACTAAAAGCAGTTTCAGAGATCAAGCAAGTGATGACTTATTATGAGTAAGATTTTGAAGCACAGGTTTCTCAAAAAGAGATTTAAAAACACTGTTTTCCCATCTCTCTCTAATAATGTAATCCCAAATAATAAATACGATCCAGGTGTCAAGGATATACACTAATAGCCAATCAGTTTTCTCCTACTTTGAGATGCTGAAGGTGAAATGCAAGGTTCATTTAGAGAAATATATTTCCAAGGTACTGTTATTACTTGACATCAGTAGCATAATGTTGAACTTTCTTAAGGACAATATACTATTGTGCTTTTTAAAACTCTTTGGCTTAATCTGTACCAATTTTAGATATTGCATTTCCTTTGCATTTCCTATGTGGTATGTAATAATTAACTATAACTTCAGTATACACAAAATTGACAGGGCTTATGAGAAAATTAGAAAATAGTAAAACATAACCAGAATTCCAATGCGATTAAGAATATTTAAAAATGTAACCATGTGCATGTATCTACGTATACCTCTTTCATATTTCTTTTTACCATTAGGAGAAAAGTGGCTGGAAAAGACCTGGAATGAGACTGAAAAACTGAGACTTCTGGTCCCATTCTGCCATTCACTAGCCATGTGATCTTCAACAAGTCATTTAATGTAGCTCTCCTTAGTTCCCTCGTCTAAAAAAATGTGATAGACTGCATAACTTTGAAGTACCCAGGTCTAAAGACCATGACATGACGGTCAGTTTACACAATTCTCAGTTCCAAAGGTGAAGTTTTAACATTACAAGGCCTTCTGCATATGAATGCAGAGTTTAATCATAAAATAACGCCCCCCCAAAACCTTGCATAATAATATACTGTTATTTCTGGACATCTACATACTATTAAAAATGAATGCAAACAGCTAGTCCAATCAATAATTCCTAACACAGAAAAAGCTAGATTACAAGCTATCTTTGCAACATTTTGCCTCCTTCCCATAGTTGTAAATCACTATTTAGATTATTAAATTATTCACCTTCTTTCTTTTTTAAATTGTTTTATTGATCATGCTATTAAAATTGTCCAAATTTTTCCCCCTTTGCCACCCTCCATCCAAGACCCCCCCATTTCCTCAGGCAATTCCCATACCATTGTTCATGTCCATGGGCCATGTGTGTAAGTTCTTTAGCTACTCCATTTCTTGTACTGTACTTTACATCCCATGGCTATTTCTATAACAAATTTGTACTTCTTAATTGCCTCACCTCTTCACTCACTCCCTCAAACCCACCCAACCATCAAAATGCTCTCTTTATCCATGATTCTGTCTCTATTCTTCTTGTTTGCTTACTTTTTAAGATTCAATTGTCCATAGATATGTATTTATTGCCATTTTCTAGTTCATAGTTTTGATCTTCCTTTCTTAAGTAAGTCCCTTTAATATTTTATATAATAATGGTTTGGTGATGGTGAACTCTTCACGGTTTTTTGTTTTGTTTTGTTTTGTTTTTTGGTCTGGAAAGCTCTTTATCTGTCCTTCTATCCCAAATATACCTTTGCTGGGTAGAGCAATCTTGGATGTAGGTCTCCACTCTTCATGACTTTAAAAATTTCTTGCCAGTCCCTTCTAATCTACAAAGTTTCTTATGGGAACTCTCCTGTAGGTAACTAACTGCTTTTCTCTAGCTGCTTTTAATATTCTCTCTTTATCTTTAAGCTTTGGCATTTTAATTATGATGTGTTTTTGAGTGGGCCTCTTTCCATCCATCTTGTTTGGGACTCTCTGTGATTCCTGGACTTGCATATCTGTTTCCTTCACCAAATTAGGGACGTTTTCTTTCACTATTTTTTTCAAATAAATTTTCAATTTCTTTCTCTTTCACTTCTGCTTCTGGCACTCTGACGTGAATGTCGGAACACCTGAAGTTGTCCCAGATGTAACTTATGCTATCCTTGGGTTTTAGGGGATTTTTTTTTTGGATTCTTTTTTTCTCGTTGTTCTGACTGGTTATTTTTTGCTTCCTTATGTTCCAAATCATTGATTTGATTCTCAGCTTCACTTTGTTGTTTCCCTGTAAATTGTTCTTTATTTCAATTAGTGTATCCTTCATTGCTGACTGGATCTTTTTTATGCTGTTGAGGTCCTCACCAAGTCAAGTTCCTTGAGCATCCTTATAAACAGTGTTTTGATCTCTGCATCTGATAGATTGCTTATCTCTGTTTTGTTTAATTCTTTTCTGGAGTTTTGATCTGTTGTTTCATTTGGGCCATGTTTCTTTGTCTCCTCATTTTGGCAGCCTCCCTGTGTTTGTTTCTATGTATTAGGTAGAGCTTCTATGACTCCCTGTCTTGGTAGCATGGCCTAGTGTAGTAGATGTCTTGTGGGGTCCAGTGGCACAGCCTCCCCTATCACCCAAGCTGAGTACTCAAGGTGTATCCTTCATGTGGGCCGAGTACACCCTCCTCTTGTAGTTGAGCCGTAATTGCTGTTGGCAGGTCGATGGGAGGGATTTACCCAGGCCAGTCAACTGCAAGGACTGGCTGTGACCACTGACCGTCAATAGCTGCCCTCCATGGTCAATCAGCTGTGCAGGGACAGGGTATTGGTGTTCTGACATGGTCTGTAGCTATCCACTGGGTGTCCAGACTCTTGGGTTTCCTGGGTAGTGCTGGCCAAGATTGGCCCGTACCTGTGTTCTGCCTAGGGCCACCCTGCTAGAGCTATAAAGCAATCTGAGATGGATGCTACTTGTCTTGGACTTGGAGATTTCCAGGCAAAGCCAAGCTGTGAGTCTAGGCTGGCTGCTTCTAGTGCTGGGCCTGGGGCTATTTAGCAAGAGGTACAGGGGCTGAGGAACTGAGGGCTCCCTGAGGCTGACTATTGCTTGTTTGACAAGATTTAGGAAGTTGTGAAGCAAGAGCCTAGACCAGCCATTCATATGGAAAAGTGATCCTAACAGTTTGAGTGGGCCTGTTAGTTGGGTGGGAGAGTCTCAGGGGACTTCAAGGACAGAGCAAACAATGTTACCCAGGTTGATGGAGTCTCCAATGTGGCACCCACCTGCTGGCTCTGTGGTTCTTTTGGGAGAGGACTCAGAAAAGGGAAAATAGCCTCTGCTTGCCTTTCTGTCTGGGAGGAAGCTATATCCCAGCTCCCTTTGATGCCAGACACTTCAGTTTTTTCCTGTATGTTATTGGAGCCTTTCAAGCTCCTACCCTGGTATCTAACCTTCTTTCTAAATAACAACTTAAAGCTGCTAAGTTAACTTACTCTAAAATTAAAATCAGGAAAACTAATAGTCTGCTGAAAAATGCAATCAGAATTACAATTTCTACTATGAGAATAATCTCATAGTGCAAAAGAATAATCTCATAGTACAAAAGTAGAAATAAAGGAACTGAAATTATTCTTCACAAATAAATATAAAATAATTTAGAACTTGTAAAAGGCTCTAAATAGCATACCCTAATACCTGATAATTTAAATGAAAAGAATAAGTCAATAGATGCTTATAAGTAAATAAACCAAAGTCTATTAATAATCTTTTTTTCTTATGAATATCTGGAAAAATTTCATTAGAATAACTACATCCCCATCTATTTAATGAGAGCAATGTCATTAAACAAATATATTTATTATAACTTTGTTATTTTGGGTTTCTAACACAGTTGAAAGATTTATTTAGTAAATATTAATGTTACCCTTGAAAATGCAATCCTAGGTCAGAGAAGAAAGGATGATGATGTTCATTTTTGGCTATTCATTTAAATGCCACATGGATTTTCTGACTGGCAGATGATTACAGGGTTCCCTATATCTCTTTAAAACTTCCTATAGCAGTATATCCTGCCTAGAAATTCCATCTAAAATTGAAGTTATGGACTCTAAGAAACTACATCTATAGGACACTGTAAAAACTTCAAGAGTAGGAAAAGATGAATGAAGTTGGTGTGGTAAGTGCTAACTCAGGCATCGGATTACTCTAGACAATGGTATCCTAGCATGACCTTGCATCATGGTGCTATGTATATATTATATATTAGGAGGAACTCCACAAACCACTGCCTGGGTCCTGCCAATCTATGAGCCTCATGTATATAAATCCGATGCTTGCAGAGCACTTAGAAGTATGCCAGGCATTATTAATACAAAGAATAATGGCATAGTCTTACACTTGCCCTCAGGAAGGTTTCACAGTTAATAGAGGAGACTTAATTATAAGACAATGGAGTGAGTATAATGTTAGAAACCACAGCTGAAATTATAGAAGCATATAAAAGATACCTAACCCAGCCTGTGGTAAGCTATGACCTCCTAGGAGAGGAAAAGTCTAAACAAATATTTACAAGAGAAATTAGGAAACGGTGCGGTAAGATTTAAGAGATGAAGGTACGTACTAACAAACAAAAGCATAGAGGCAAGGGAACAGCACTGCCTCCTGTGTGAAAATCAGTTACTGCTTTATCTCACAAGTCATGAATTGTGAGAAAAGACAGAAGATAAAATTGGTGAAACAAGGTGAAACCATATCATACGCAGAGCCTAGCATAACATCCTAGATTTTATCCTGCAGCCTGGGAATTTTCCAACTATTTCAGAAACCAAACTCCTTTTTTTTTTTTTTTTAATAGAAAGCTTCCATAAGATATCAACCTGTAAGTTCTATAAAAACAGACCCGAAGTGGGTAGGGGATTCCCTGTACTTAGCGCATACATTGCAAGCGCAGTTTGGAAACCACAGATGCAGTGATTTAAGCAAAGGAATGATACAATAAGATTTGCACTCCTGATATGTCACTCTGGTGGGTGTGCAGAGAATGGATTTGAGCAAGATGAAATTAGAGGCAAAGATGTCAGTTAGAAACAACTGGCAAAAACCAAAAAATACTGACCTAAGCCGGTGTCATGGTAGTAAGGATAGAAGAAAGGGGGTAGCTTTGAAGACCATCAGGAGGCATTAGTGAAGCTAAACTAACTGCTCACATGGTTGCTATTTAGTCCTAGCTGGAACTGTCACTTGATCCCAATTGGCAGGTTTCAACAGGGAGAGTTTAACTCACTAATCAATTTCCAGGTGAGGTGGGGAGCTATGTATTGTGTATGGAGTCTCAAGGCTTTATGCCCTGTTTTATAGTATTGCTAGGAGAATCCAATTGATTTATGTTCTTTTGCTTTACATTATTGTTTAACACAACTATTAAAATGATTTGTCATTAAAAATTTTTTAAATGTATAATAATTTACTGAATATTTCTAATCAACTTTCCTAACTAACCAATGCTTAACTGCTTTAATAATAGGTTTTCATATATTTAATATTTGAACAATCAATAAATGCGGTAGGTATTTATTTCCTTACTCTTAAAAAGAAAATATAAAACTATACATGCTTAAAGACATTCCTTTTCTTCAGTCAAAGAAGCTTAAAAAGAAAAAAAAAAACCAAGCTCTAAAATTACCACATACCATTCTATCACCCTCAGTTATTTTATTTTATATTACCTTTCAGGGCACTGCTGGAAAAAAGCTGTCAGCTGCTGCAAAAGTACTGGCCAGCAATCAGGTCTGTGTTCAAGCACAGTGATCAAAGGCTGAGGATGATTTCTGAAAAACAAAGAAAAGTCACATTGGAAACTGTCATTTCAGGACCATACATTCTCAATATCCAAATATAGCGCCAGAAAAAAAAAAGGCCACTACCATCTAGAGACTTTTTGCAGGATTCATAATTGTCACAAAATGATCATCTGCTTCATTTGTTAGCAAGTTGGTTCATTATAACTGATATTTTTTCCTTTAAACTGTTTTGCAGAAAAGAGAATGAACCCCAAGTCTTAGAGACCCAAAGCTGAGAACAGACTCTGCCACTTAACAGCTCTATGACCAGCCAAGCTCCTGAATCCAGTAGCTCTCTCATCTCCATCCCTCAATTCCTTTATTCCTAAAAGTCATGCCTCCTTCTCCTACTGCTCTCTTTAAGAACCTGGAAGGTTCTGTTTCTCTAACATTGCCCCAGCTTGTAAGCACTATCTTTTCTCTGTTTCCATTTACCCCATTTTTCTCAGTGTATGACTCCATGTTCCCCCAACATTATTTAAGATGAGAAAGAGAAAATACTTCTCCCACCTCAAATAACAATCTGCCCAAACTGAAAATGCTTGAAATTTCTCTTGAATGAGGATAAATCCTTTTATTTTGGCTACATTAATTAAGATACCTAAAAAACCTATATAAAACATAAGATCTGAAATCTGAGGAATCCTTAAATAAGAAAAAAAAGCACAAGTTATTTTAAATAGTTCAAAAAGTCTATTAGAAACTCTAAATTCATTAGATTCTTAAACTATGAAGCACTACACAAAGTTTTTAGTTATTATGTATGTGGCTTTTTCCTCCAAAAATTTTTTTAAATATAATGTAAATACTCATTATAAATTCAAAAATAGAGAGATATCCATGTTTTTAATATAAAAGGAATTAAACACATAATGCAATTTTTTAACCCAACAATATATTACTAATAATGATTTTTTAAAAAAACAAACAAGCAGACTAGTTTCACTGAAATGATTTTTTAAGATTGCCTACTTGGTAGTTTTGAAAGTGTGATCGCCTTTCCAGCAATATCAACATCACCTGGGAACTTGCTTGAAATGTAAATAAATCCCAGACTCCAGCCCAGATCTAATAGCCCTCCAGACAATTCTGATGCACAGCTAGAAGGCAGTGGTTCTTAATCCTGGCTGCAAGTTAGAATCATCTGTGGAGCTCTTTAAAAAAATACCAGCGTCCAGGTCTCAATTATATTGAGGTTGCTAGGAATGGGGCCCAGGCATTAGTAATTTTTAAAACTCCTCTAGCAATTTTAATGTGCTGCCAGGGTTGAGAACCACTACCAGTAAAACATCACTGAAGAGGAAAATTGTTAGGAATTAGAAAGTTTTCTGATTTTTGCTTTCTCTCTTAAACAGAGAAGTATGTCAGAACCATCACATTCAAACACTCATCTTAAACCCCTCTCTGACACTACTACACAGTTCTGACTATTATAACACCATCTCTTTATTTTCTCCTCAACCTCACCTAATCTATCAAGCACTGACTTCACTTGCTGGCAGCATGTTTTGCTAAAGCACAGGGTATGTCTGACTGATCAGGTTACTTACATTACAAAGGATCACTCTAAGCAATTTGTTTATGCCAAAACTCAAAAATCATATAAAAATCACATTTCTAAATTTCAAATTCTCTGGCAGTTAAATCTCTCCAGAACTTGCTTCTATTACGGTTGTCACAGATACTAAGCAACAAATGTAACAAATCCTAAAAGCACCTCAGGTATGACACATCAACTGAAATTCTTAAATTAAGAGTTCAGAAGGTCATGTTCAAGTAAACAGAAGTAAAAAGAACAGAATAGCAACTGCAATTATTTTATTTATGTTTTTTACTTCTGAAAAGCATCATAATGAAATAAGGAGCCAGCTAGTGATGGCATTTATGACTATTTAAAAAAAAAAATCAAACAAGTTACCACATAGTTTTTGTGTTATCATAAAGCACTGAAGTGCTTTTTAATACACTTCCTTTATAAGTAAGTCATCCTCCACCCCTTCACACTCTTCACGCCCCCAAAATGTTAAATATCTCCATTATAAAAGTTACTTTTGTCCAAATTAAATCAGGTTGACAGAAACAAGAGATAGTAATTTTAAAGTAAGATTAGAAATGATGCACATATGGCCAAAAACTACCGTAATTCAGCTCCTATACTTCACAGGATTGTGGGAACCACTCTATTTTGTTGCCTGAAGCTGAAGTCCCCTTTAGATAGCTACTGAATTCTGCCAATCCTATTTAGTATCTCAGATGTAAACTCTAAAGATAATATTAAATAGAATATAGTAGGATAAGGATTATCAAATTAATTATGGATTTAGACATCAGGATGATTTTTACATAATTATGTCAGATCCAAGTGGAAATATTGTAGGAAACATGCAATATTGATTCCAAGAAACTGAAAACCTTAAGGGAGAAGGCTAGACCAAAATAAGAACATTGACTCTTACTGTTGATTAACATTTGATTATTAATATACTAATTCAAGTGAGTATTATTAACCTAAAATTAATTATAATTGCCAAAATTTAGTTTTAATATATTAAGCACAGTGAAGGAAAGAGCTAAATTCTCCCTTATCAATTGTTAAGTTGGTATGTAAATACACAAAAAATATGTAAAGCCCTTATGCTTAACTAACAGAATGGATGAATTTTCTAATTAAGTATATTGATCGCCAAATATACTTATGTAAGTACATTTGCCAAATATGCCATATGTAAGGGTTTCTTGATCTTGGCAGTACTGACATTTGGGGCCAGATATTTCTTTGTTGCAGGGGTTGTCCAATGAACTACAGGATGTTTAGCAGCATTCCTGGCCTCTACCCCCAGGGCGCTAACAGCATTTGCCCTAGTCATGACCATCAAAAATGTCTCCAGACATGACCAAACGTCATCTGGGAGGCAAAACTGCCCCTGCTTAAGAACCACTTAATTAGGTAAAATGACAAGTATTAACAAGAGGCACAAGCTGATCAACACATGGTATAAGCCCTGAGTTATTTTTAAAAAAACAAAAAAACAAAACCAAAAAACTATAATTTCAGCTTCACACTTCTTAACATTGAACCAAAACCAATCAATCATGCTCAAAATTTTAAGTTTCTTAAGGAAATACAGTCATCAAATATTAACATTAGGAATACAAGAGTAAAACAATAATGTAGAAACTAAGACACTTAAAATGGAAAACAAAAGTAAAATTATGTCTTTGTACTTCTGGTGAGGATGGTGGCATGGGTAAACACAGCTCACCTCCTCACAAAATGACATCAGAATTTTAACTGGACTATAAAACAACCATCATACAGAACCAACAGAAACTGAGCTGAATGAAGTTCTAAACTATGGAATTAAAGAAGAAATCACATTGAGATTGGTGTAGGAGGGGCAGAAACGAGGAACAGGCTGATCCCACACTTGTGTGGTGGATAAAAATCAGAAGGGATATCTCAGGAAGAAGGGTTCCAGTCCTACATCAGGCTCCCCACACCCTAGGGTTCCAGTGCCAGGAAGCTAAGTCTCCGAAACTTATGGCTATAAAAGTCAGTGGAGATTGAGGCCATGGAAGACATAAACTGCTAGAATCCCAGGCAGTTCCTCTTAATGGGCCCATGCACAGACTTACTCAGACTCGCTCCCTCTGAACTCCAGCACCAGGGCAACAGATTAAAAAAGCCTAAGAGACATACGGAGGAATTGAGTTGTTTGGCCTAAGGGTGAGAGCTGAGGGACAGCTTTGTCCCAGACAGAAGTACTGGCAAAAGCCATTGTTATTTTCTGAGCCCTGCCCCCACAGAGCCAGTAGGCAGGCGCCATACCTGAGACCCCACCAACCTGGCTCATACTCTTTGCCCAACCCTGGTGAATCCCTGAGGCCCCGCCCCACCCAACTTTCAGGCCAACACAAGTTGTTTCCAGTGGCTTTTCCGTATGAATGGCTTGTCTTGGCCCGTGCTTCAAATTTCCTAAATTCTCTCAAATAAGCAACATCTGGCCCCAGTGAGCCCCATGCTTCTCACTAAGTTGCCCCAGGCCTGGTACTAGCAGCAGCCAACATTGGTTCACAGCTTGGCCTCCCGTGGATACCTCCAAGCCCAGCACGGGTAGCAGCCATCTGCAGATCATTGTGCAGCTTATGCTGTGACCCTAGACAGAACACAGGTGATGGCTGACTATGGATGTGCCTATAGCAATCAAGGCTCAACTACAATAGGAGGGTATACTCAGCCCACACAGAGGGTGCACCCTGAGTATCCAGCTTAGGTCATAGGGAAGGCTGTGTCACTGGACTCTATAGGACATCTACTATATTAGGCCACTCTACCAAGACTGGGTGACATAGCAGCTCTACCTAATACATAGGAACAAACACAGGGAGGCTGCCAAAATGAGGGGACAAAGAAACAGGGCCCAAATGAAAGAACAGAACAAAACTCCAGAAAAAGAACGAAACAAAATGGGGACAAGCAATCTACTAGATGTAGAGTTCAAAACACTGCTTATAAGAGTGGTCAAGAAAATTAGTGATGACCCCAAAGGCATAAAAAAGACCCAGTCAGAAACAAAGGATACACTAATTAAAATAAAGAACAATTTATAGGGAAACAACAGTACAGTAGATAAAACTGAGAATCAAATCAGCAATTTGGAATATAAGGAAGTAAAAAACAACCAAACAGAACAGCAAGAAGAAAAAAGAATTTAAAAAAAAATGAGGATATTGTAAGGAGCACCTGAGAAAACTTCAAATGTTCCAACAGTTGCATCATGGAGGGTCTGCAAGGAGGAGAGAGAGCAAGAAATTGGAAACCTATTTGAAAAGATAATGACAAAAAACTTCCCTAATTTGGTTAAGGAAATAGACATACAAGGCCAGTAAGTAAAGAGTACCAAACTAGATGAATCAACGAGGCCCACACCAAGACACATCATAATTAGAATGCCAAAGATTAAAGACAAAGAGAATCTTAAAAGCAG